TTTCCTGTGTTATGATTATAATAGCTTCTTAATTGATTTCACTTTATGACAGACATTGATCATCTAAAGTGGTTTCAGAAAAGAGCAAACAGGAGTATGAGGGCAGTCTGGTCCATATTAAGTCACTGATGTCTAAAAGAATTTATAATATTAGTATAAAGTAGAGAAGCTTTTGGAAGGATTTGATGTAGCAGATCACAAAAGTCTGAGAATATAATAAACTATCTCAAGAGTTAACGATTTCCCATCACTGGAGTTGATCGAAATCAGTAGTTCAGTCTTGGCTGCATATTAGATTAAGATGGAAGATTGAAAAAAAATATACCAAAGCTCAAATCCCATCCCAGGAAAATTAAATCAGAGTCTCTGTGGCTGAGAGCTAGAGTTTTTTTTAAAAAAAAATCCCAGACATTCTGTGTATTCAGGGTTGAAAATCCCTGTTTGAATACATGAGTGATTACTGAGCAAACAAGTCAGAGCGAGTTAAGAACCAGATATGCAGTCTTTGAAGTCACCTTTGGATCTGACTTTGTTCTATGAAATAAGTCATCTTACTCATTATCAGTAGCAGTTGACATAATGCGTGAAACACTTTCTTCACCCAAAAGTTTGACTTCACTCCTCTTGATTCTTCCATCACTGGTTGCTCCTCCTTCCTCTCCTTTGCTTGTTCCCTCTCAAATCTTCAACCTTTAAACACTGAGCTACCTAAGGACTCAGTTCTTGCTCCCCTCTCTTTTTCTCTGAAGACTTCATCTACTTGATGATGACTGAAATGTATATTTTCAGGTTGAATCTCTCTCCAGAACTGGATTCAATATCAGGTTTTCTATGTAATATCTCTACTTGTCTCAGGGGCATCTAACTTAACGTCAGTTAACCTAACTACCTTAGTAACTTAATAAGTCAGTCCCAGATCTGAACTTTTAATTACTGATATGAACTCACCTCCAAAACCTCCATCCACGTTTTCCCCTCTCAGTAATTAGTAGCTGCATTCTTCCAGTTATTTAGGCCAAAACCACCATCATTTTAAGCTTCTTTCTTTCATAAACCATTAGCAAATCCTGCCATCAGTGCCATCAAAACATATTCAGAATCTTCCCAATTTTAAACCTCTTTATTTCTAATATCCTGGTTCAAGCGAGCACTGTTTGTCACGTGGATTATAATTTGAATAATTTCTTAATTTTTCTTCCTGCTTCTAATTTCGTCCCTCTCAATCCTACACGATAACTCTCAGTGAGAAGCTAGAATAACTTTTAAAATTTGTCATCTATGTCACTTTTCTGCTTAAATATTTCCAATAGCATTCCTACTTACTCAGAGTGAAAACTCAAATCCTTACACTGGCCTAAACTGTACGTATTCTGGTTTCTCTTCACATCCTATAAGACTTTTGCCTTATCCTGGTGTTTCTGGATCTTTCAGTTTATTCTTCCCCCTGATTCTTGATCTAAAATATGTTTCCCCACATATCTGCATAGCTCCCTCTCTCAATTTCTTTAGCTTGTTGCTACAATGTTACATTACCAGAAAAGATTTTCTTGACCATCCATTGATAATAGCAAAACCTCAAACACACATATATTGACACATTCTGTCCCACCTTTTTGCTTTGTTTTTCTTCAGAACATTTATCATCACTCTACACAGTGTATGCTTATTTGTATATATTTTTACTGTCTATCTTGTACATTAGATTGTATACATCAAAGTTCCATATCAAAACAGTGACTCTTTGTACTACCTTATCCATAGCATCTAGAACAGTGCCTAGAACATAGCAGATACAAAGCAAATGTCTGTTAAATGAAGGAATGGATGAATGAATGTTAGGACATATTATCATTTATATGTTTTATTAACCTTTGTGGCATTTTCCAAGCAAAATTTTTTACTATGAAATATTTTAGATTTTAGGTATAATTGCATCGCAAAATTTCAAAAGTACAGTTTGGACAGAGTTTTGACAATTGTACATACCCAGGTAATCACCATCTGATAGACCTCACCACTCAACGTTCGCTTATGTCGTTTTCCACTCAATCCACCTGCCCCTGCCTTTTTAATTTCTCTCAAAGGGAGGAAGTTTTTAATTTCTCCTACTATAGATTATTTTGGCCTGTTTTATGGAATTCATATAAATGGAATCATGCACTGGGTATTATTTGAGCTAAATAAAAGCTTCTTTCTTTGAACATCACATTTTTGAGATTCATGTATGTCATTGCATGCATAGGAAGTATATTCATTTTTATTATTGAGTCTCATTCTGTTGTAATAATGTCATAATTAATTTATCCACTCTTTTGTTAGTGTTTGAGTTGTTTCCATTTCATGGCTACTATAAACAAGGTTGTGATGAACCTGCTGTTCAAGTCCTTTGGTAGACCCGTGTTTTCATTTTTCTTGTGTAAACACAGGTAGACTTGATGATTTTGAGAGTAGGTGGACATTTAACTCTATAAGAAATTGCCAAATACTTATCGAAAGTCATTTGCCATTTTGCACTCCCAGCAACAATATATAAACTTACAGGCACTCCAAATCATTGGCAAAATTTGGTGTTGCTGGTCTTTTTAAGATTACCAGTTTTAGTGGATGCTAAATTGTAACTGATAGTGGTTTTCATCTTCATTTCTCTAATGACTAATGATTTTGAGTTTGTCATGTGGTTACTGATATATGTCTTTTGAAAAGCATCTGTTAAAGTCTTTTTACCCGTTGTTGTCATTTGTATCTTCATTATTTATTTATCTATTTGTTTATTTGTAGTCTTTATATAATCTGTCCTTTCTTACTATATATTAATGCAAATAATTATTTTAGTCTGTGGCTTTTCTATTTATTTCCTTAGTGATATTCTTTTAATGACAAGGGACTTTCCATTTTGGTAAGGTCAAGTTTATCATTTTTCTTATTTCATTAGTGCTTTTTTGTGTCAAGTTGAAGAAATTTTTACAAGATCTTTTTTGCAGAAGTTGTATGATTCTAGGTTAATATGTTCAGGTCTATGATATCCAGCTCAAATGTTATTTTTGGGGAAGTGGGGCATGAAAGAATGAGTTTCTTTTCTTTTTTTCCCAATATATAACCAGTGTTTCCAGCACCATTTGTTTAAAAAGGATTTTCATTTTCCGGTTGAATTGATTTGGTGCCTTGATCAAAATAGCATCTGACAATGTGCGTCCTATTTACGGACTCTCTGTTATGTTCTATTGATTTGTGTGTGTGTGTATCCTTCTGTCAGTGCTTCACTGTGTTTGATTCTTGGCTTTAGAGTAAGAGTTGAGACCAGGATATGTAAATTCTGCACATTTTTTCTTTGTTTTTAAGATGATTTTGGCTGATCTAGATCCTTGCTTTTCTACATGTATTTTTCAGTCAACTGGAAATTTCTTTATAAATGTTTCCTGGGACGTTGACAGGGACCTCATTAAATGCAAAGATCAATTTGGGGAGAAGAGACAAATTAATAATCTTAAGTCTTCATTCAAGAACATGATATATCTTTCCATATATTTACATCTTTTAAATTTGTCTCGAAGATGATTGATACTTTGAGCATGGAGGCACGGTGCATCCTTTGTCAGATTTAATGCTCGGTTTCTGACATGTTTCTGTGCTCTTTAAATGGTATGGTTTCAACTGCATATTCTAACTGTTTATTGCCAATGTGGAGAAATACAGTTAATTTTGTATCATAACATTTTATCATGCAACTTGGCTAAATCCACTTATTGGTTATAGAATACTTTGGAATATTCCATAAGGTTTTCCATGTGCCCAATTATTTTGTTTGCAAATAATAGCAGCTTTCCTTATAATCATCGTGTTTTTTTTATTATTTTTTCTTACCTTAATGAACTGGCTAGTACTTCTGCTGTCATGTTGCGTAGATGTAATGGCAGACATCTTTGCCTTGTTCTTAGTAGTAGGAAAAAAAAAGTTCTTAAATTTTTTATTTGGTGAGACCATGAAAAGTTTTAATGTTAGACCATTAAGTATTATGTTAACTATAGCTTTTGCTTTTGTCTTTTTTTCCCCTGAAGCTGTTTATCCACTCAGGGGAGTTTTCTTCAATACCTAATTTTTTGCAATTTTATGTCAAGAATTGGAGTTCAATCTTATCAAATCTCATTTCTGCATCTCTTGAGATGTTTTTTCCTCCCTCTATTAATATGGTGAATTACAGTGGTTGGTTTTCCCAAGTTAAGTCAGCCTTGCATTCCTGGTGTAAACAGGGTATATTTTTACATTGCTGGATTGAATTTGGTAATAATTGTTAAATATGTTTGTGTTTCAGCTCATGAGAGATATGGGGATGTGATTTTCATTCTTTCCTCCCTGTCTTCATTGCCTTTCTCCTCTTCCTTATTTGTTCCCCCCCCATCCTCTTCCATCTTTTCCTTCTTCTTGTAATATCTTTATCAAGTTTTGGTATGAGGATTATGTTAGCCCTACAAACAGTTCTGAACTGTTTTTACCTCCTCTATTTTCTGAGTTTGAATAGGATTGATTATTATATTTTGTAAAAATATTCGATTGAATTCCCCATGAACCAGCTGGACCTGGAAGCTTATTTGCAAGTCTTTTTTTTAATAAGAAATTCAAATTTTACTAGTAATATCTATGAGACTATTTGAATATTCTACTTTGCTTGTGTAATGTTTGATAAGTTGTGTTTTACAAGAAAATTTTCAGTTTCATGTATATTTTCAAATTGATTGGCAAAAAGTTGATTGTAATATTCCCATAGTATATTATCAGTCTATAGAGTCTCCACAAATATCTGATGCTTTATTTTTGGTGTTAGAAGTTGTGTTTTATTTTTTTTCTTGATCAGTTTAGCTATAGTTTTGTCAATTTTATTTGTTTTAAGAATCATTTTTCACTTTGTTGATTTTCTCTATTGTTTGTAGGTTTTCTAATTCATTGATTTCCACTCATATATAATAGTCCTTTATTTCTACTGTTTTTACTTTTTATTCCTAACCCCATGTCCCCCCATTCACAATAGAGATGAGACAGAGGGCATAGCTGGAGGTGTATATGGTGTAGGTTTACTCTGGCTCCTCCTTCTGTATATTCAGTGTAAGAACACAGCCTGTCATAAGCACCAGTAGGCCTGATTTTATTTTTATTTATTTTTTTGGTGAGGAAGATTGGCCCTCAGCTAGCATCTGTTGCCAATCTTCCTCTTTTTGCTTGAGCAATATTGTCACTGAGCTAATATCTGTGCCAGTCTTCCTCCATTTTACATGTGGGATGCCACCACAGCCTGGCCTGATGAGTGGTGTGTAGGTTCACACCTGGGATCTGACTTGGCGAACCTCAAGCCACCAAAGTGGAGTGTGTGAACTTTGCCACTATACCATTGGGCAGGCCCTGGCCTGCTTTATTTTAATTTGCACTTAAACCATTTTCTCTTCTAATATGAGAATTTAGAATTTTTGCTAAGCGCTGTTTTAGTGTTATCCAACATATTTGACATATTCTGCTGGTAGTATTTATTTTAAATATTTTTAATATCTCTCATAACTTCCTTTTCACCCCACGGACTTTTTTAGAAGCATATTGTTTAATTTCAAATATTTGAGATGTGCTTAAAAAATATTATTTTTTATTAATTTCTAATTTAATTCCATTGTAATTGGAGTTTAAACTCTGTGTGATTTGAATCCTTTGATGTTATTAAGATTTATTTTCTTGCTCAGGATATAGTTTATATTGGCAGATGTTTCACTTGCCCTTGAAAATACTGTGCATTTTCCAGATGTTGTGTGTAGTCTTCTAGACATTTTGATCAGGTCACGTTGGTTTATAGAATTGTACGACTCTTCTCTTCTTCGTTGATTTTTATCTGATTATTCCATAAATTCCTGAGAGAGCAGTGTTAAATCTTCGACTTGTTTGTAGTTGCTCTATTTCTTCCCTTAGTTCTAGAATTTTGCTTCTTCTATTTTGAAGCTCTGTAAACAGGAGCATACACATTTCATCTTATAATACAGTTTTGACTTATTGTTAACACTCTGTGGAGTTTAATTCACTTGGGGTTTTTATTTCTCATTTTTTTCTTGGCATTATAAATTCTCTGATGGGTTTCAAAAATTTTTATTTGGTAGCTTTTATGACTCCTCTTGGTTTTCTTGAGGGGGTGAGTGTCCTCATTCTCCAAAGTCTAATGATAATCTTCTGATTACAGAATTTCCTTCATATCAAATTTTGTTATTTTTTTTTTTAAGGATTCTAGCTTAGTTATTAAGCTGCCACAGAGGCAGTGGAATCAAGTGGTGAAGAGTGAGAACCCCCATATCCAGAAGGCCTAAGTTTAAATCACAATTTCACCCCGTGTTAGCAGGATGACTTTTGGCAAGTTAATTAACCTCTCTGTTGGTCATTTTTCAACTTTAAAATAAATCTAATAATAGTTCCTACCCAAAAAGGTGATGTGAGAATTCTGAGCTAATACTTATAAACCAATAGAACTTAATCATTACTCTAAAATATGAACTATTATAATTTATTATTGTCATTATTATTGCAAGTATTAATGAAAAATTATACCTGGCTAGTGGCTCAAAGAAAGAATAAACAATCATATTCTCACTGTATTATAGCCAACTGAGTTAATTTGACACTTTTTATTATAAAATATCTAGATTAGAAATTGCTGAAGTATGCTTTCACTTTAATAATTATTTATTTATTTCATGTCACAATTTGATCCAAGGTAAAAGAACCCATATTGTCTAAATACCTTGTCACAGCTTTTCTCAGAAGCCAGGATTTAGTTTTGCCTATTGTATCAGTCCAGCTAAACAGAGGTTCTTACCTGTAAATAAAGAGTAACTAATACTATCCTGTCCAGAGATAACTCTTCTGGTATTTTCTCTAAGAGGTTATCCATTGTTTTCCAGGGCATAGTCTCGAGCCTCACTCTTCCTTTTTAGTTCCATTGTGTTATTTCTTTTTTTTTTTAATTAAAATTATAAAAGTTAACATCCTTGTGAAATTACAGTTGTACATTATTATTAGTCATGTTGTAGGTACACCACTTCACTCCTAGTGCCCTCCCCCCACCCCCCTTTCCCCTGGCAACCACGGATCAGTTCTCTTTGTCCATATGTTAACTACCACCTATGAGTGGAGTCATACAGAGTTCGTCTTTCTCTGTCTGGCTTATTTTCACTCAACATAATACTCTCAAGTTCTATCCATGTTGTTGTGAATGGGATGACTGTGTCCTTTTTTATGGCTGAGTAGTATTCCATTGTATATATATACCACAGCTTCTTTATCCAACCATCAGTTGCTGGGCACTTAGGTTGGTTCCATGACTTAGCTATTGTGAATAATGCTGCAATGAAGATAGGGGTGCATGGACCTTTTGAAATTGCTGATTTCAGGTTCTTAGGATATATACCCAGTAGTGGGATGGCTGGGTCATAAGGTATTTCTATTCTTAACTTTTTGAGGAATCTCCATACTGTTTTCCATAGTGGCTGCACCAGTTTACATTCCCACCAACAGTGTGTGAGGGTTCCCTTTTCTCCACAGCCTCTCCAACATTTGTCACTCTTGGTTTTGGATATTTTTGCCATTCAAACAGGTGTAAGGTGATATCTTAGTGTAGTTTTGATTTGCATTTCCCTGATGATTAGTGATGATGAGCACCTTTTCATGTGTCTACTGGCCATCCGTATATCTTCTTTGGAGAAATGTCTGTTCATGTCCCCTGCCCATTTTGTAATTGGGTTATTTGATTTTTTATTGTTGAGTCATGTGAGTTCTTTGTCTATTATGGAGATTAACCCTTTGTCAAATAAATAACTTGTGAATATTTTTTCCCAATTAGTGGGCTGTTTTTTTTGTTTCCATCCTGTTTTCCCTTGCCTGGAAGAAGCTCTTTAGCCTGATGAAGTCCCATTTGTTTATTCCCTCTATTGTTTCCCTCATGTGAGGGGTTATGGTGTCCGAAAAGATTCTTTTGACGCTGATGTCAAAGAGTGTGCTGCCGATATTCTCTTCTAGAAGACTTATTGTTTCAGGCCTAATCTTTAGGTCTTTGATCCATTTTGAGTTTAATTTAGCAAATGGTGAAAAAGAATGGTTGCTTTTCATTCTTTTACATGTGGCTGTCCAATTTTCCCAGCACCATTTGTTGAAGAGACTTTCTTTCCTCCGTTGTAGGCCCTCAGCTCCTTTGTCAAAGATTAGCTGTCCATAGATGTGTGGTTTTATTTCTGGGCTTTCAATTCTGTTCCATTGATCTGTGCATCTGTTTTTGTACCAGTACCATGCTGTTTTGATTACTGTGCCTTTGTAGTATGTTTTGAAGTTAGACATTGTGATGCCTCCAGTTTTGTTCTTCTTTCTCAGGATTGCTTTAGCAATTCGGGGTCTTTTGTTGCCCCATATGAATTTTTGGATTCTTTGTTCAATTTCTGTAAAGAATCACATTGGAATTCTGACTGGGATAGCATTGAATCTGTAGATTGCCTTGGGTAGTATGGACATTTTAACTATGTTTATTCTTCCAATCCAAGTGCATGGAATGTCTTTCCATCTCTTAACGTCATCATTGATTTATTTCAAGAAGGTCTTGTAGTTTTCGTTGTATAGGTCTTTAACTTCCTTGGTTAAATTTATCCCAAGGTATTTTATTCGTTTTGTTGCGATCGTGAATGGGATTGAGTTCTTGAGATCTTTTTCTGTTAGTTCATTGTTAGCATATAGAAATGCTACTGATTTATGTATGTTGATTTTATACCCTGCAACTTTGCTGTAGTTGTTGATTGCTTCTAATAGTTTTTCTATGGATTCTTTGGGGTTTTCTATATATAAGGTTGTGTCGTCTGCAAACAGCGAGAGTATTACTTCTTTGTTGCCTATTTGGATTCCTTTTACTTCTTTTTCCTGCCGAATAGCTCTGGCCAAAACCTCCAATACTATGTTGAATAAGAGTGGTGAAAGTGGGCACCCTTGTCTTGTTCCTGTTCTGAGAGGGATGGGTTTCAGTTTTTGTCCATTGAGTATGATGTTGGCTGTGGGTTTGTCATATATGGCCTTTATTATGTTGAGGTACTTTCCTTCTATACCTATTTTATTGAGGGTTTTTATCATAAATGGATGTTGGATCTTGTCGAACGCTTTCTCTGCATCTATTGAGATGATCATGTGTTTTTGTTTCTCATATTGTTAATGTAGTGAATCACATTGATTGACTTGCGGATGTTGAACCATCCCTGTGTCCCTGGTATAAATCCCACTTGATCATGGTGTATAATCTTTTTGATATATTGCTGTATTCTGTTTGCCAATATTTTGTTGAGGATTTTCACATCTATGTTCATCAGTGATATTGGCCTGTAGTTTTCCTTCTTTGTGTTGTCCTTGTCAGGTTTGGGGATCAGGGTGATGTTGGCTTCATAGAATGTATTAGGGAGTGCTCCATCTTCCTCTATTTTCTGGAACAGTTTGAGAAGGATAGGTATTGAATCTTCTTTGAATGTTTGGTAGAATTCTCCAGAGAAGCCGTCTGGTCCTGGACTCTTATTTTTGGGGAGGTTTTTGATTACCGTTTCTATTTCTTTACTTGTGATTGATCTATTCAGATTCTCTATTTCTTTTGATTCAGTTTGGGTAGGTTGTATGAGGCTAGGAATTTATCCATTTCTTCTAGGTTGTTCAATTTGTTGGCATATAGTTTTTCATAGTGTTCTCTTATGATCCTTTGTATTTCTTCGGTATCTGTGTGATTTCACCTTTCTCATTTCTAATTTTATTTATTTGAGACTTCTCTCTTTTTTTTAGTGAGTCTGGCTAAGGGTTTGTCGATTTTGTTAAATTTTCGAAGAACAAACTCTTTGTTTCATTGATCCTTTCTACTGTCTTTTTTGTTTCAGTATCATTTATTTCTGCTCTAATTTTTATTATTTCCCTCCTTCTACTGACTTTGGGCTTTGTTTGTTCTTCTTTTTCTAATTCTGTTAGGTGTCGTTTGAGGTTGTTAATGTAAGATTTTTCTTGCTTATTGAGGTGAGCCTGTATTGCAATGAATTTCCCTCTTAGGACTGCCTTTGCTGCATCCCAAATCATTTGATACTGTGTGTTTTCATTTTCATTT